GCCAACTGCTTGCGGGGGGCCTTGCCTCCAGTAGACTTGCGGGCAGTCTGCTTGGTACGTGCCATTTTGGGGATTGATTGATTGTTTGTATCTAGACAGATAGGAAACGGGGGCGCTGGTTTCAAGAGCTGAATTTATACCAGAGCGGCCTGGGCCAAGTCGCGCGGCGTGTGGCTATCAGTGTGAGGCTTGGCGCCGCCCATTGATGCTGTGTAAACAGAGCTTGAGGATTGACGGCTGTCAGGTGTGATTGGGTGAAAGTGCCTAGGCCTTGTTTGGTGATGATTCCATTAGTTTGTGCAATGTTTGAGTGCTAATCTACTAGTTTAATCCGAGAGGTAAATTTTAAGCGGTATCAAGGATTAAGAGAGCTTTTATTTGAAGAGCGGACGGTTAGGATGAGCGCTGGGTTGACGCGGCCGGGCGAGCGCTACACTAACGTAGGCGAGTGAGTGTTGCATTAGCGATGGGGCGTTGAGGCAGGCATCTCTTGGTTAAGTGATTCAAAGCTGAAACCATGACTGGACGTGGAAAGGGTGGCAAGGGGCTCGGAAAGGGAGGCGCCAAGCGTCATCGCAAGGTGTTGCGTGATAACATCCAGGGTATCACCAAGCCTGCAATCCGTCGTCTTGCCCGTCGTGGTGGTGTCAAGCGTATCTCTGGTCTCATCTATGAAGAAACCCGTGGTGTGCTCAAGGTGTTCCTCGAGAACGTGATCCGTGACGCCGTCACCTACACCGAGCATGCTAAGAGGAAGACTGTCACTGCCATGGACGTTGTCTACGCTCTCAAGCGCCAGGGACGTACCCTGTACGGTTTCGGAGGTTAAGCGTTTTCCACAACAACAACAAGTACAAGAAGGAAAACTACCACAACCACCAAAGCCAACCAGTAAAGCGACCCAAACAAAACCTTGGACCTATCTTAGGTCCTAATACAATTTTTGAGAGAAAAATTGTTGACTATTTATTACTAGTTTAGTTTGTTTGTGTGTTAATTTAATTTGTTTAGCTTTGTTTTGTTGATTTGTGCTAGTCTACATTTGTAGTAATGAAGGTAACGTTAGAATGTTTGTTTGTTTGTTTGTGGCAGTATTGTTTTGTTTGTATTTGATGTTGTTATCATGGGCTATTAGTACATGTTATCATTTGTTTGTTTGTGTGTGTAGCATTGCGGGACATGTCAGTAAATAAGTGCAAATAAGTAAGAGAGTAGTTGTAGATAACTGTGTCGTTAAACAGTTGATAATTATATTGATTATCAATGTATCTTTGCTTGTTTTTAACAAATACTTGTGGAATCTATCAATATATACATGTAGGTTGAGTGGTGTAGGTTTTAATGTTGTTACCATCGTTGATGAGTAGTTATTGTGAGTGAGTGAGTGATTGGGTATTTAAGTAACTAACTAACTCACTAACTAGGTATATTTGTGATGCACTTGAATCGTTGAGTTTATTTGATTTTGGATGCCAATGTTATAGATGTAGGTGTATGCAATGACAAAGGCACCTTGAACAAGGCTATAATAATCATAGAGTAGAGTAGTGATGTATTTAATTATTGTGTGGGTGTGTGACTGACTGTGGGGAAAATAGGTAGGGTAGGTTTGTTGCGTTTGCTATTGTGTGTAGGTTGTGCACACATGTGTTGACTGACTGACTGACTGACTGACTAACAAACTAATTTGTATAGCTTGGAGTTATTGCATAATTATGTATGTTTGTGTCTGTGTGTCTGTGTGTGTGTGTGTGTATGTATGTTTGTTTGTGTTGCGCATGTCTGTGTATGTGTGTCTCTATGTGTGTGTGTCTATGTGTCTGTCTGTCTCTCTCTATGTGTATGTGTATGTGTCTGTGTGTGTATGTATGTATGTATGTATGTATGTATGTATGTCTGTCTGTCTGTCTGTCTGTTTGTGATGCGCATGTGTGTGTCTCTATGTCTATGTCTATGTCTATGTGTGTGTGTGTGTGTGTGCGTGCGTGTGCGTGTGTGTCTATGTCTGTTTGTGTATGTTTGTGTTGTGTATGCGTGTATGTCTGTCTATGTGTCTATATGATTGATTGTCTGTGTGTGTGTGTGAGATTTGTTGTTTGTGTGTTTTTCTGCTCCCCATACAAAAGTAACAGACAGACACAGGAGGAGGAGGAGGAGGAGGAAGAAGAACAAGAAGAGAGTGTGTGAATATTCAAAGAGGGTTGTTATTACCAAAAGGCTACTTACTTGGTCATTTCATTAGTGCAATGTTGGGAACTAAACTATGCTCAAACTAGATTTGGTAAAGTTTGCCATGTAACAAGAAGAAGAAGAAGAAGAGTGTGTAGTTTTCTTTTATGCACGACATCTAACGGCAAACTTTGATATCTGCCGGGTAAACAAACACACGAGGGTGGTTGGTTGTGTATTGAGGAGGAGGAGGAGGAGGAGGAGGAGGAGGATTGAGTTACGTGTCATTGTCACTCACTACAAAATTGAGCGCACTAACTAAATAACTAAC